CATCAATGCCTGGTGTTGTGCATCTTTTTAATTGTAGCCATTAGAATAAGTGTGGGGTACCACGTGGTTTGGGTTTGTGTTTCTTAGTCAATGGTGAAGTGTTTCCCTGCTAACTGAAAGGTCAGGGCAGAATCCGCCAGTTGAGAAAGTTCTACTCTGTCACACAGGGTCACAATGAGTCAGAATCACTGGACGGCACACAACAATGACAAATGGGGGCCCAAACAATTTGAGCTTACCTGTTATCTGAAAGGTTGGCAGTTTGAGCCCACTAGGCCAGTGGTTCTCAACCTTCCTAATGCTGTGACCCTTTAATACAGTTCCTCACCATGTGGTGACCCCCAACCATAAAATTATTTTCGTTGTTCCTTCATAATCTTAATTTTGCTACTGTTAAGAATCATAATGTAAATATCTGAGATGCAGGATGTATTTTCATTGTTACAAATTTAACATAAAGCATAGTGATTAATCACAAAACATGCAATTATATATTATGAAATATTTGTGTTTTCCGATGGTCTCAGGTGACCCGTGAAAGGTCCATTCGACCCCCATAGAGCCCGGGACCCACAGGTTGAGAACCGCTGCCCTGGGCAGTCTGCTTCCATTAAGATTACGTGGTGCTCTCTCTCACGTCCTCACTTCCGAGATGACAAAGAAAAGGCGTCACAACGGCCATGCCATGTGCAGCCCATCCGCTGCAGGCACTGCGCCCGCTGCGTGCCCACAGACAAGGCCATTGGGAGTCCGTCATGAGAAGCACGGCGGAGGTTGCGGCCGTCAGAGACATTTCCGAAGCGAGTGTCTCCGAGGCCTACGTGCTTCCCGAGCTGTCCGGGGAGCTGCAGGACTGCGTGGGCTGTGCATTCACAGCAAGGGGGCCAGGAACCGGCCACGTGACGCCTGGAAGGCCCGAACCCCGGCCCCACCTCGATTTAGACCTGCAGGTGCTGCCCGTGACTTCCTCCAAAGTCTAGGTAAAGATTAGAAGCGGAAGAAAAGCAAACCTGAAAGGAAATTGTTCATGGGAAAGAAAGATTACGTGGTGAAGAAAGCTGATGGTGCCCAGCTATTAAAACACATAGCATCTAGGGTCTTAACCCTATAACGCCGAGCGCAACGTTTTCGTAACGTTTAATTGAAACGTGTCAGGTACAGACATTATAAAGCTTTTGGAGCCGACGACAATATCGATGAAATTGTGCTTTATTAGTCCAAATGCATACTGCTAGTCATGCATTTTAGCGGCAAAATGCTTGCATAGTGGCACGGGTCTTGACCGATTGTGCATTTGAGGTTACGTGGTCATTGGCGTTCAGTGCATTTTATGATAATTTTCAATCTAGTGAAGTTTTAGTCTTGATATTTTTTGTATATGTTCATAAAACTGTAGTTTTTATGTCAAAGGTGTAATACTCATAAAATATTATATTTATTATAAATTTCTGCCTTTTCGAAACAACCACTTTTTTTCTTTTCTTTTTAATTATTTGTCATTGGTTGTGTTTTTTTTTTAAACAATAATTTTATTGGGGACTCTTACAGCTCTTATATAACAACCCATACATCAATTGTATCAAGCATATTTGTACATATGTTGCCATCACTATTTTATAAACATTTAGTTTCTATTTAAGCTCTTGTTATCAGCTCTACATTCCCCCCTTCCCTCCCCCTCATTTGGCTTTTTTTTTTACATAGTTTTGTTAGGGGCTCTTATCACAATCCATACCTACATCAATTGTGTAAAGCACATTTGTACATTCATTGCCCTCATCATTCTCAAAACATTTGCTCTCCACCTAAGCCCCTGGCATCAGCTCATTTTCCCCCTTCCCTCCCCACTTCCCCCTCCCTCATGAACCCTTGATAATTTATAAATTTTAACTACTTCTTTATGTTTGTCTTTTGAATCAATGGTGACAAAAATTACCACAGCATGGATTGTGATGTTTTATGGAAAATGGCAAATTTATGACCTAGATGGAAGTGGTACAGACTCAGACAAGGAACCAGATGCTAATATGGATGAAATTGGTAGATAAAATGTATATTCTATTTAAAAATTTTGATTTTACTATATAACATTTTAATTATATTGCTATTCAAACTATTTTGATAAATTTATTTTTCCCCATGATAGGAAGTGAATATACACCCAATTATTCTGATTTGGATGAATTAGAAGACCTTGTAGTTAGTAATGATAATACTAGTGAAGATGAGTTAGAAACTTCAGTGTTTAAGTTGAAGAATCAATTCCAATAACTATAAGTTCAAAGCCATGTACATCAAGAAATCCAAGAATTCCTCTTTGGCAGCACATTCTGGAGACAGTACAGCTAGACCTATGCCTGAATGGTTAGGACAAATAGATTCTTCTGGGGTAGTAAAATGTCCTGTTGAATATTTTAGACATTTTTTTCTCGAAGGATATCATTACTCATAATGTCAACCAAAACTTTATGCACTCCAGCAAAATCCCAATAAACCTCTTGCACCGAGTAGCCAGGAACTTGGGCAATTTTTGGGTACACTGCTTGATTTGATAGACTTGCTAATTGCACTGTACACATCAGATCGAAAAAATATCACACATTATTTTTTCATTTTATAGATGTGACTGCTGTGAACTCTTGGCTACTTTATCGCAGAGACTGTGAGAGCCTTCAGTTACAAAAAAAAAAAAAGTCGGCAAGAGTTCAAAATGAGCATTGCCGAAGCTCTTCCTCTGGAAGGAAAAAGTAATAGACCAACAAAAAGAGGCAGACCTTCTACCAGCTTTACTGATGTCGAGTTTGCTACAAAAAGAGAAGAGCTCCTGCCACCAGAAGTCTCCCTGGAAGAGACAACCGTTTGGATGGTCTTCATTACCCTGACGTCACAGAGGAAGATGCAAAGATGTCAATTGCAAGAATGCACCAGTATTTTTCTGCAGCAAATGCAAAGTTCATCTTTGTATCACACACAAAATAATTGTTTCGTTCAATTTCACACTAACTAAAATGATAAACAATTAAATCTCGTATTATATTTTATAAGTAAAATAAGTTTCCGTTTGTTTTTTTATTTAATAATAAAATAAGATGAAAAATAATATAGAAATGAAGATGCATTTTTAATTCTTGTATTATAAATCCATAACGAATGTGACAATTTGGTTACATTTAAAAAACATTGAAAATTTTATATTTTTAAAATATATTTTGGTTGTTATATATATATTGATAACTATGAAAGTAAAGAATAAAAACAAAAAAAAATTTTCTTCCTGAAATTAAAAATTCCGGCGTTAAAGGATTGAAGGTTCAAAGATAAAAAACCAGCCATGTAGCTGGGAAGCAACAAAGTCCACATGGAAGAAGCACACCAGCCTGTGTGATCATGAGGTATTGATAGGATCATGTATCAGAAGACCTGAAACAAACAATTATATCAGTGGGAACAAGGAGGGGGTGGCGTGGAGACCCAAAGCCCATCTGTAGACAATTGGACATCCCCTTACAGAAGGATCACAAGGAAGAGATGAGCCAGTCAAGGTGCAGTGTAGCACTGATGAAACATACAACATTCCTCTAGTTCTTTAATGCTTCCTTTCCCTCAATATCATGACCTGAATTCTACCTTACAAATCCAGCTAGACCAGAGCATGTACACTGGTACAGAAAAGAGCTCTCGACACAGAATCCAGGACAGATAAACCCCTCAGGAACAATAATGAGAGTAGACACCATGTGGGTAGGGGGAAGGTGGGGGAACCGGTTACAATGATCGATTAACCCCCAACCCCCCAGCGGGACAAACAACAGAAACATGGGTGAAGGGAGACAGCAGATGGTGTAAAATACGAAAATAAAAATAATTTGTAATTCAACAAGAGTTCCCGGGGGTGGGAGGGAGGGCAAAAAGCCGATACCAAGGACTCAAGTAGAAAGAAAATGTTTTGGAAATGATGATAGCAACCTATGTACAAATGTGCTTGACACAATGAATGTATGATTTTTTTAAAAAGCCCCAAAAGCATTTGAATCAAGGCCTGAACAAAATTATCACTATCACCAACCTTCCACCCTCTAAAAACCTTAGGCTAGTGTGAAGGAACGTCAAATGTCCTCCTGGGTGGTTGAAGCCTCAGTTGGACTTGAAGAATTAAAACCTCGAAAGTAGAGATGATTGTCAGTCACCTCCCTGAAACGGACCAACATGCAAGTGTTTATTTTAACTGACATTGTCATGAAAAATAACTCTTGGGCAAAGGTGCTGTTACCAAGGGCTCAAGTAGAACGAAAATGTTTTGAGAATGACGGCAACAAATGTACAAATGTGCTTGACACAATGGATGGATGGATTGGGATGAGTTTTACGAGCCCCAAATAAAATGATTCATTAAAAAAATAAGAATATCATACCATTCAGAGGGGCATGGCTTATAGAATGAGTTGCCAAAAATAGCAAACCCCACCTGTCTGTCACTGTCACATTGCATTTTAAATAAAGGTGCAAGTCTCTAGCACATACAAATTTAAAAAAGGAAAATAACTCGGGATGAACTCCGGAGGGGACGGAGCTCCGGGGGTGCCCCGTCTCCGGGGCCATTTGTGCTCTTTGGCTCCCCGCTGCCGCCTGACGGCTGCTGGTCCCCCGCAGTCATCAGTCCCATGCGTCTGCATTAGACAGTTTTTGGCGGCATCTAACGAGAAGAAAGCAATACCGTAGTTAAACTCCGGGGCGCACCGCGTTCCAGAAGCCCAGGCGCTGCGCGACCCGGACGCTGCGGGCTTCCGGAGGCGCCTCCTGGGGCCCACTTGCCGCCCCGCCACCGTTACGGTCCTGGGAACCCAAACCCTCGCACCGGGCTGCGCACTTCGGGGCGCTTGGGCTCCGACACTTTTCACGCCGGACGTCCGGGCTGCGCGCCATAGTGCTGTGAGCGCCGTGACCCGGAAGAGCTGCTGCGGTTGCGGCGGCGACCCGGAAGCAGTTAGTGTCGCGGCGGGAGGGACGTGCGCTTATGAGGCGCGGCCGCGGAGCACTGCTGTTGCCCGGACGATGGCTGGGACGGCGCTCAAGAGGCTGATGGCCGAGTACAAACGTGAGTGTAGGGCCCTGCGCCGCCCGAGAGTCGGACCTCGGCCTCCCTGGGGTCGACGTGCGAGCCCCTGCCACGGGCCGGGCCCACCCTGGACGCGGCTTGGGCTGTGTGGGGGGCCTCCTCCCTTGGGCCGGCCGGCCGGCTGCAGGCCTTCGAGCCCGCGTCCCCGAGCCTGGGCTCGCCCAGCTGGGCTCGCCTCGCCTGGCGTTATCCTGCCTTTGAGCGATCGAAGGGGAGCCCGCCCAGCACTGCCCTGTCCCTGTGCCGCAAACCACCGTGCCAGCAGGAGCGGAGGGCCCCGGGGCTCCCAAGCGTGCAGTGACGAAGCCCCGAGGACGCAGCGTCCAGAGAAAGTTCACGCTCAGATCCTGTGCCAGCAGTGTAGGCGTTTAAATTAGTTCGGATTTGGGAGCTCCGGAGTCTCTAAACCTCTGAATCATGCGTGTTCGCTCGCCAATATTACCAGCAAATGAGTTTTGCTATGGTCCCGTGTGACTCATAGCCTGCACTCCATGTACTCTGCGGACCTGCCACCCTTACCCTTAGGGTTAAAATAAGGGATGGGGGAAGCACCCACCGACCACGCATGCACTTTAGAATGCTTAAACACCCCCCTTCACCCCTCTCGTAATGAGTAGCGCCCTGGTGGCATAGAGGTTATGCTTTGGCCCGCGATTGGCTGCGATTGGCGGGGTCTGTGGTTCAAAGCCACCCGCAGCACCGGGGAGGAAAGACTGGGATTTCCACCCCCCTAAAGAATAACAGCCTCAGAAACCTACAGGAGGTCACTATGAGTCAGCATTGACTCACGGCAGTAATTAATTGCCATGGGAAAGAGGAGAGCCAGAGTTGCTGATAGAAAACTTTAAAAACTTGTTATGTTTTAAAGGACAAAAACTTACTGAAAAAACTATTATAGGGGGGGGAAATAAGGGTTTGTAGGGGGTGGGGTGGGGGAGGGAGGTGATAAAGGGGAGCTATTATCAAGGAGTTCAAGAAGGAAGAAAATGCGTTGAAATTGTGGTAGCAATTGTATAACACTGCTTGATGTGATTCAACTATGGCTTGTTAGGATATCTGTAGGAGCTCCCCCCCAAATGATTAAAAATTAAAAAAAGAAAAACACCTCATTGTGATGAGTTTTCGTTGAAAGGTCTGGGACTTTGAACATTGCCACTTGTCCTTTGTAGATAGTGTTCAGAAAACCTCATGAATGCTTTCTTAGCCAGGATATAAATATTTCCGATATTTGGGACAAGGACAAGGAGAAATAAGAAGCTTAGGAGCACACTATTCTACCTTTTAAAACTGCTGGAATAAAACCCAGAGGACCGCCGCAATGAGAAGTTATGAAATGCTGTTGCCGTTCTGATGGAAAGTGCCAGAAACTTGGATTCACAGGTGGAGACAAGCTGGTAGCAGTGACAGTGTGGCTTCTGGAGGCACAGATATGGGTCATGACTCTGCCTGCCTCTTTGTCTCATTAACTGTCTGACACGGGGCAGGTCCCTTAGCCTCTGACAACTCCTTCATCTGTGAAGATTAAAGTTGAGGTAGCAGGTGAAGTGCTTATTAAGATCATATGATAGCTCGAAATAATATTAGTTATTGCTGTTGTTACAATTAGATTGAGGGCTGATTGGCAAGAATGTTGAAAATGAAGTGATATAAGAACGTGATAAAAAGAGTTGCTAAGTATTCGTGCGGCTCAATTTCCTAAACCCTGCTGCACAGGGAGTGTTGATGTTTTGGCCTGAGCAAACCACACTCGCTAAATGCTAGCTCATTAAGTCACTGTTTAAATAAGGTTCACCACCTTGTGTTCATTAAATTAAGAACATATCTTTGTTTAAGATAGAGATGGTTCACTTAGGAGAGAGGATGGCGTGGTGGAGGCTGTTGTCTTCACACCTTTTCAAGGGAAGCCTAGTTGGGAGACACCTACCATTTACTCCTGACCTTGTCTCTATTTTTGTCTGTTTGGTCCTGTTTCTAGGCCATGAGCTGGTATCGTGTCCTTATTCTCCTGGCCAGGAAGTGGGCGGGGCGTGAAGATTGGGTCATCCTTTCTGTTTCAATCCTTCATTCAAGGTGTTGAATTTGTATTTCCTAAGAATATTTGCACTAGCAAGCTTGTTTTGTTTTACTTCTTCCTTTTGCTGTACTTAAGGAAGCCTGATTTCAACTACATTATTGTCCAGGCATAAAACCTGAATAGCAGTTCAAATGCTGCAATACTGTGTCCTGTTTGTGTTTTTATGTGTTAATGTGTGGAACTTTGGAGGGTACCGTATGGGTGGTAGGTAGAAAGAAGCTTTGAGGGTCCTGTCAGGTAAAAGTTGGGCGGTTTACCTGCTCGTTGGTTCATTTCCACCAGTTGCTACTCGAAGACAGATGAGGCTGTTTGCTTCCGTAAAGATTACAGCCTTGGGAACCTTATATAGCAGGAATAGGGAACCTCTTTAGGCCAAGGGCTATTTGGATTTTTAGAACATCATTTTCAGGCCATACTGGGCAAACATTTATTAACTCATCCTTAATATGATGCCTGGAGCTGCTTCTCTTTGGTGAGGCGGGTGACGTTAGCTGGCATTGATGATTTCTTGGGCCGTTTACAGCCTGAGTGCTGGACATTCCCCACCCATGCTGCAGACGGCATTGTGTGGCAATGGGTTTTTTTTTTCTTTCAGTTTGGTGTTAGGCAGAGCTGTAATGGTCTAAGGATACCCTGGTTATTCAATTAAACAATAATCTAGGTATTGCAAAAGTAATTGTGGCTCTTACACGTCTGCCCTTAAATTGTGAGAAGAGAGATTATCCTGGATTGTCCAAGTGGCCACAGGAAATCACATGAATCCTGAAAAGCAGGTGAGCTGAGACACTTAGGGTGTGAAGGACTTAGCTCTCTGTGGCCGTCTTTGAAGGTTGGGGAAGAGGGCCTCTAAAAACTGAGAATGACCCCTGGCCAACCATCAGCACGGAATGGGGGTGGGGTGGGGGATGAGCTCTTTGTCCTGAGTATCCCCAATGACCTGGGTGAGCTGGGAGCACCGTCCTGCCCACTCTTTGAGACCCGAGGAGCCATGCCATGCCCTGACTCCTGTGAGCTCGTAAAGGAGTGTTGTCTTCAGCCCATGAGCGCAAGGTGGGAACTTGGCACGGCAGCAGCAGTAGAGAAGGAAACAGCATGTAATTGAGATTTTTGTTGTTGTCGAGTCTTCGTCATTCGATACCATGCCATTTGCCGATTCTTGTTTTCTGTGTCCTAGCATCTTATTTAGGAATGAGAGATCTATTCCTGTGTTTTTAAGTCTGAGTAGAATCTGTAGGTGAATTGAACAGGTGTACAGGGCTGAAAGCCTGTTCTGTGGTTTAAAAGCTGCACATGCAGCAAGGAGAGGTAATTGTGATGGAGAATTTTGTTGCCAGAAAGTGTTCTGAGGGGTTAGTTCAGTCATTTCAAAGTGTGAGCAAGTTGATAGAACATTGAAGGACAGGAGGAGTTCTCCCTAAGTATGCCATCCCTAACCCAGGTGCTGCCTGTGTTTTTAACCATGTTGTTGTAGGGGCCATCCACGTCAGTTTCGACTCAGCAACCCTTTGCATAGCAAAGCGACACAGAAGCACCAGGCCCGGTGCTATGCTCACATGGTCGCTATGTTGGAGCCACTGGGTCGGTTCATCTTGTTGAGGCTCTTGCTCTTTCTCGAGGACCCCCCTTTACCTAACATGATGTCCTTCAGGGACTGCTGCTCCTGACGTGCCCAAAGCATTATAAAGCAAGTCTCATCACCCTCGCATTTCAGGCGCATTCTGGAGTGTTTCCTCCAAGACAGATTTGTTTGTTTTTGGCACACCGTATTTCTTTCAGTAGTGTCAGAAAACACAATTCAAGTGTATCGATTCTTCTTTCTTTCTTTATAGTCCAGGTTTTACGTGCCTATGAGGCAATTGAAAATACCATGACTTGAGTCAAGCATACCTTCTTAGTTGCCAAAGTGATGTTTTTGCCTCTTAACACTTTAAAAGGAGTCTTGTGTAGCATGCAGTAATACTTCATTTGATTTCACGACTTTGGCTTCCATGAGTGTTAATTGTGGATCCAAGTAAAATGAATTGACAACTTAAAATCTCTTCTCTGTTTACTGTGATGTTGTGTATTGGTCCAGTTGTGAGGATTTGGGGTTTCTTTACATTGAGTTGTAATCTCTACTGAAGGCTTTAATCTTTGATCTTCAGAAACTCCTCCTTACTTTCAGCAAGCATGGGTGTGTCACTTGCATATTCCAGGCTGATAATGAGCCTTCCTCCAGCCCTGGTGCCCTCTTGTTCTTCAGATCGTCCAGTGTCTGAGTCCACATCCATTAAATAAGGATGGTGAAAGGGCATAACCCTGCTGCACACTTTTCCTAATTTTTAAACCATACTTCCTTGTTATCAAATTGATGCCAACTCATAGTGACCCTGTACGAAAGAGTAGAACTGCCCCCACAGGTTTCTGAGACTATTGACTCTAGATGGGAGTAGAAGGCCTCATCTTTCTCCCACAGAACAGCTAGTGGTTTTGAACTGCTGACCATAAGTTAGTAGTCCGATTCCTAACCACCACACCACCAGTGCTACTTTTAAATCCTGCAGTTCCCCCTTACTCTGTTTGATTGACTGCCTCTTGGTCTATGTATAGTTTCCACATGAACACATTTAAGTGTTTTGGAAGTCTCATTCTTCTCAATGTTATCCACAGTTTGTTTGGGCCTGGTGCAGTGAATGCCTTTGCACAATTAATAAAACATAAGTAAACATCTTTTTGAAATTCAGTGTTTTCATTCAAAGTGCATGGCCCTTGTTCCATGTCCTTTTCAGAATCCAGCTGGAATTTCTGGCTGTTCCCTGTTGATGTAATGTTGCAACATTGTTGACTTACCTTCAGCAGCATTTATTTTGCTTGTAATATTAATGTTGTTGGGAAATTTGCGGATTCTGCTGGGTCACCTTTCCTT